TACCATACATTGTATCAAACCCGAGTTTGTATGTAACAACATCACAGCCATACAATACCATACATTGTATCAAACCTGAGTTTGTATGTAACAACAACACAGCCATACGATACCATACACTGTATCAAACCTGAGTTTGTATGTAACAGCATCACAGAATGAAAATTTCTTATGCATAATTTGTTTAAGTTTCAAATAGAAGATTTCTTGGCTGAGCACATCTGAAGCTCGAGTTCACCTTGTGTGTATCCAAAGCTAATTTCTTATCCTTTATCTATAAATCGGTGCTACTATAGCGTGCGGTCTACCGAGACTTTTACACTATAAACAAAGCATATAAAGGTATTGAATAATAGCAGTCTACCTGGGATATTTACACTGCTAAATAATTTATTAATGATCATTATTCTGATAAAAAACGAACAACACAAAATTGTGCTACATAATTATTTTTAATGACATACCCTTCGTACCACATCCTTAACAACTGATTTACATTTAAATCCTTTAACGATATACACTTCTTATATTATTTACAAATGCCACAAATATATCATCTGCATCTTTTCTTAACACTTTCCAGCAATTGTGATCAAGGTGTGATTGAAACAGCTCGGTGCTACTATAGCGTGCGGTCAGTGTAAATATCCCAGGTAGACTGCTATTATTCAACATCTTTATATGTTTTTGTTTATAGTATAAAAGTCTCGGTAGACCGCACGCTATAGTAGCACCTATAAATCTGTATATCAGTGAATGTGGTGAAATTATCAACAAAACATTAACTAATTCACTTTTACAAAACTTCCTGATGCTACTTTTTGAAACACAAACTGTAGTGTAAATTACGTCAACATGTAGTGACCAAATTGTTAGGATACAACATCGAGACACAGTTTCTATTAGACTTTTCTGGGAGAAAAGACGGTCTTTAAAGTTGACAGTGGGGTTTAAAATTGAACACACATACACATCAACTTTTCATCCTGAGATAATTAACTTTGAATACGTGTGTTCAATACTTACTTGAATTTATGTAACACAATAATATTTTACTGTATGATAGTTTGTTTCATTTTTTACTTTATTTTTACTATAGTATAGCTTTAACTGTCTGCTATCAGGCTAGACCAGGGGTCGGCAACCAGCAGCTCCAGAGCCACATATGACTCTTTAACTCTCTCGCTGTCCAATTATTGAAACACACGGGAATTACATGCATCGTGGATCTCGGTATCTTGCATTTTTTCCAAAGTTTAAAAAAATGTTAACCCCTGGACTAGACCAATGTTACTTACCAAAAATACTAACTAATAAACATTGTTCTTATTACTGTTGTTCAGTTGGTAAATCACGTGTCCTATGAAAAAAAATACCTGGAAAGCATCTGGAATGCATCTTCTTCGTCTCGAGGTTTCTCAAATATTATGCTATCCATTGTCACCACTGTGTCTGCTCCAATTACCAAGTCTGGCTGCTTCTGAAAATTACATTTATATCTGTTATATATTAAAGAATAACATTTCAACCAACATTAAATTAACAAAGTAACTGGATAGAGTCAAGGTATGTAAGCTATCAATCAACTTTATCATACTTGGTGCTTATTTGGTAAGAAACAAAGAGTTCAAACTTCAGTCAACTTAATGATAATAAAAATGTTTTATTTCTCCAAATAAAAGTTGCACTTCTCGCAAGTAAATAATGCATAAATAAAGATTCAACTTACTCATCACTATTCTTCTTAAACATTTCTAGACCCTCACTGTAAGCTACTTTCTTGTACATAATCATAATGTTTATATGTACTTACTGTTTCTTTCTCAAGTCTTTTAAACACTTCCAGAGCTTTACTGTAAGCTGTTTCTTGTACATAATCGTACGGTTTATCAAAAGATGTTTTGTCCAAGTTTTCTTCAAATGTAGATGGAACAACTTCAAATGGAAATTTCTAAAAATTTCAAGATAAACATTAATAGTTCTGATCGTGAACATCATTTGTTTTTGAAAAGGTTGAACTTCCAGATAATTAAATCATTGGTACCATGAATGATAAGTCGTGATAGGAAGACTTTATCCGTCAATAGTGTTGCTTGTCAACTTCATCACTTGAGTAACAATAAATTCTTTGTTTCTCAGCATAATCTTTACACGAACCAATCTTATGAGTGGAGACCAAGCTGCCAAGTGACATCACTAAATACCTAGTCTTACCTTTCTAACAAAAACATTAGTGTACTTAGAATCATTATGTAATTTTTAGTTACGAATACATATCTGCTTCAAAAATAGTTTACTTTAACACATTAATGATTAAATACTATAATATTCAGTAAGATAAGCAATGCTGAAGCTCAACTAAATGTGTATACTATTTCTCGTCTATTTTAAATATTATTCTTAGATAATAACCCTTGTTCAACAGTGGAGAGAAGAACAATATCATAGTCAATGTAAAACATCTACAGTGAAGCATGATGAGGGTTTGTACAAATTTAGTGTTAGTGATATACACAACATTATGGCACCCTGACTGCTGACAAGTACAGGCGGATTCTGATTCATTATGTCATTTCCTCAGAAACATGACTCATTAAGCAGGGATTCATCTTTCAGTTAGACAATGATTCCAAACTTGCAATAAATGTGTTGAAACGATAACTTGATAGAAAAATCACAAACAGAGGCCTGATATGAATATTATGAAGGCTGTATGAGCTAATGCAAAAGCTGAGAACCCAAAAAACAACTTGGTTGAATTGTTAGAGTAATACAGACCATCTGTAACAACAAGTCATGAAACTGTACATTGATAAACTGTAATGCAGCATTAAAAGAAGTTGTAATGCTCTGTTTAATGTCACGAACTCACACAGAAAATGCTAATGCAGTGTACAAATTAATTGCTTTTCTTTCATACTTTCTGTGGTAATGTTTTTGTTCTATTAATAAATCCACTGTATAGTTGCCGTTTCTTATTGTTTGTGTCTCCTCTGTGGGTATCACTCGTGTATTTCCATAACTGCTTTAAGTCAAAGAAACGAAGGAATAGTATATACGTAGGTAAACATTTTTTTTTAAAGCTTTGTAACTTTTACTGAGACTTCTTGTGTGAGAAAACTTACAATGTTGTGAAGAATTTGTTTTCGTCTTGGTGAACTGCTTGCAAGTATAATTTTTTTAGTCAAAAGCTTCTGCATAAGCGGTTCAATCATCCTTCACACGGTTCTGATTATATCTGCTAAAATGACCCTCGTTCTTGACTTGTTCCTGTAAGTTACCAAATAATTTATAATTCTATCAAACACATTACACACAGTTAAAGTCTTCAGAAAAATACTTCAAGGTTTAACATTTAGCTTTAACTAAATTACAAACTATCATTTTGCAAAATAATGACATGTGTGATAAACAATTTAAGTATAAAGAATCAGTAAAAAAAACAAGATAATTTAATACAATATTATCATTCTGTTTCCTATGGGTAAGATATTTTCACATACAATTTACAAAATAAAACAGTCCAAAAATTAAAAATTTAAATACTCAAATGTTTAATCTACTAACTCATTTTGTATTTCTTTACAGTTACAATATCAGATAGATCTAATTCATGTACCACAAGGTACCTTACCATTAACAGTTACAATATCACATAAATCTAATTCATGTACCACAAGGTACCTTACCATTAACAGTTACAGTATCACATAGATCTAATTCATGTACCACAAGGTACCTTACCATTAACAGTTACAATATCACATAGATCTAATTCATGTACCATAAGGTACCTTACCATTAACAGTTACAATATCACATAGATCTAATTCATGTACCACAAGGTACCTTACCATTAACAGTTACAATATCACATAGATCTAATTCATGTACCACAAGGTACCTTACTCTACAATTTATTGCATTATTTGAAATAAAAGTGACAAAATACTTAACGAAAATATGCTAGGAAAAGCCGTGACAAACAGTTAGATTGTTAATCTTAGACAAAATTACTATCAGTAATAATTTGAGTCAAACGGGAAAATACTAATAAAAATTCCCTCAATATTACAAAATATCCCACTAATTACTGCTACTACTACTACTACTAGGGCTAGGGTATCTTGTGCACTTTAGATAGAAAAAAAGTGTTTGTATCCATTTTGTTTAGACATTTCTTTAAATTAGGTGTTGTAGCAGGTAAAACGTAAAAGTACTTAGTCTTATGCAATATGTAGTCCCCTTCTCATACTAATAGGTAATAATAATATTGAATTTGAACAGTTTCGGATATTCGTACAGAACCACACAATGGCTATCTCTACTAGTACTAGTTATGCTTAATTTTGAGTTGATACTGATAGACTAGACCTAGTCAACAGCATCCACCACCAACAATTAGCTACTTTAATCAAATAGTTGTATTCTGTTATCATTCTTAATCTTATAATAAGTTGTAATACACGCATAGCCCCAAGAGTGGATCGCCATTTTTTAATTTTTTTTTTCTTAAACGAGCCGCAAGCAATAAATCAACAAATCTACAGTCCAGTACACTAAACGCCACGCCCGGCTTGAGAAGTAAACAATAAAAATATGTCGGTAAGTTATCGGTTATACAATTCTGCTAATTGTTTCTGCTATAACATCTAGAGACTAGGCCTTTTCGCGGTGTTGAAATATATTATATGTAATGATACTAATATTAATTCTAATACTAGTAATAGCATACTGAATTGTTTCAGTATACAAATATTTTCTTATTAAGTAATGATACTAATATTAATTCTAATACTAGTAATAGCATACTGAATTGTTTCAGTATACAAATATTTTCTTATTAAGTCACTTAATAAGTGTACTACTTTTATTATACTGTGTGACACGTTCTCGCACAAAATCAACAATATTCTCTACTATTGTATTAAAATGTACATGTAATTCGATTTTAGACTTAGACCTTAAGGAGGCACATTGCTACATGTCCTGATGATAAAGGTAAGCCTTTCTTAACAGTTAAATTGTTCTTGTATTTGACTTACACTCAGCTATAAAATCAGTCTTTCTAAAACGTAAGAAGTATTTTCAAAACTTGTAGCGATATTTAATAGAAGCTTTTATTATGTTCCCCATCTTCAATTATTGGCAGTAACTTGCGATTTTAATTCCATACTTTATAATTAAATATTATGAATTTCTATCGGAAATGAGGAATAATTAATAAAAATATTTCATGTATATATATTATGAATATACATATTTACAATATTATCTATTAAACTATTTTACTACTTACAGCTAACTTTTCTAATAACTTCGAATCGTCTTTCTCTTGATATTGGAGATTTCTTAACTCGTCTCACAACTCAAAAAACGTTATCGCAGTTATTAGTTCCACACTTGCACTAGATGGCGCTGTTTAGATACAGGCGTGAAAATATTAACACTCTCCAAACTCGAACAGTGATCTCTACATAATATAACCTGTCTAGTGCCTATTCTAGAGTATGGACGCAGCTTATTATACCAATATATTAATAAATTGGCAAAAATAAACGTCTTCATTATGCTTATAAATCGATGTTTGCCAATTTATTATTACAACCTATCTATATACACAACTCAATTATCTCGAATAATTTAGCGCCCTCTATCTTACTATGATCGATTTACGTTTTGTAGCAATCGGAAATAAGCGGAATATAACGACTTAATCATTTGGGTTACCCCGACCCTTGAATTTTATTTGTGCTGTGCCAATCACGGGTATAAAAAACAGGTTTTTAGTGTTATAAGCCTTCAGACTTACTGCTGAGCACACTTAGGAGCTACGGACAGTGACTTCAACAAATCGTCCATTTTACTGTAAACTGCCTTCTATGTATAATTCGTAAGCCTTATATTACCCTCTATTTATACTTCGTAACCTCTACAATGCCCTCTATTTATATTTCTTATAATTTGTTTTTTCCCCAGCTCTTGTTTTGGAACAGTGCAACAACTTTATGAACAAAAATTCTCAAAATATCATAGTAAAAATGTTCATTTTGAGTGGTATGTTCAATAACAATTTTTAGTAAATGTTTTTAAAAATTAATTTTGGCTTGTTTTCACTGGTTTTAATCACGAATTTTCAAAGTTTAAGAGCCTTCAATACCGCATTTTTATCAGTGCGAAATAGTTTAGTATTTTGTATATAAAAGTTTTAAGGTTGTCACATTATATTGATAAATAAATATTATTATTTATAATTATGTGATTAAAAAGAAAAATATAATTATAAGTCCATTAGCTAGGGATAAGCTAAACATAAATATTGAGAAATATATATAAGTGGGTAGAGACATGTGGGTAAATAATCACTAGTGTTTGTTTATCTGATTTTAAATAATAACACATTACTCTGCAGTTACATCATTGGAAAATATGGAATGACAAGAGTAGAACAGACAGTTAATTTTAATCATGTTTATTAACAAAATAATGTGATTCGAACTACCTTTTCATTAAAGAACAATTAAAATTTAACTCAATTTGCACTTGTTTATTTGTTCAACATGTATCAACATACAAGTGATAACTATTTTGAACATGTGAGCACCGAGACCGACTCTCTTCAAACTTGAGGCGGTAATAGATCTAATATCATTCATTGATGTTCTAGAACACATATCTATTAGAAATATGATCTGGGTACATAACATTTCAAAGTTATTGTATAATACATATATATAATTAGACGAATTAAAAAAAAATACGTTTAACAGATAACCATATTGAATGTTTGAAATAACAGGGAAAACTGTACATTTTCCATCTTTTAGTGATGATTGTCCTGGCATCATACTTGGTATGTGGTTTGATTGAAAAAGTAGAAATGACAATGAATAAAACTCGCCTGTAGACCACAAGCTCTTAAAACGTAGTTTATGTCTACAGTTTTTTCCAACTCCCATCACTCACTCTCCTTTCTTGTAAGCTGATTGCCAGACGTCAGCGAGACACACAGAGGAATGGAACCGGTAAAACAACATGAGGGGGAGGGTAGCATGTGCTACAAACATCCACTGAGTTCCGTAGTGATGTTCTGGTGCTTGATACGGTTCGGCATTTTTGTGCTGGAAGGTATTGACGATCCACATGGCAAGGTTCAAGATTATCAGAAACGTTATCAGCTCCCTCCCGGGTTTCTGGTATCGAAGATCGTAGCTGTTACTGCAGCGACGTAGGCCGTTACTGACGAACACAGTCTGAAAGATAACCTGGATATTTAACAATATGCTCAGAACCACCCTGACGTAGTTACTGTCTTGTAACTCCGCCCACACCGTCAAAATTCCATTGATAAAGAAAAATGGTAGAGGTAGAAACATTAGAAGGTCATCTAGAAAAGTGATTGGATGTAAATTAATGTCTAACTTGGCAACCAAAGGGTAGGCAAGTGACAAAGAAATGAGACCCAAAATAACTAAACAGATTTCTTGAGCTACGTATAGGTCCACTCCAGTTTGAATATACTCATCGTTGTTAATTGATACAAAGAAGACGATTACCGTTACTGTGGTAACAAACAACAAAAATAACCCAGCAAAAAGTCCTCTATTTGCCGAGTGACAATCTACACTGAGAACGAGATTACTTTCAAATTTTATATCGTCTTCTTCTTCCATATTGACTTTCTGTGTGAGATGCCAAGCTTCAGCGTGTCTGTGATCTTTGCCAATGTTCTGCCATGCGATGAACCAGACCCCTGCTAGAAGCAGGTTGTATTCAATGGTGAAGGGGTACAGATACGGGACTGCTTGGAGTGAGTACGGTGATAAGACGAAATACGTCTTTAAACATTCTGTGTTCGAACTTATAAAAGGTTCTGAAAATAAAATATAACAACAACTGAGATTACGCTGATTTCTAAACATGAGTTTATCTAAGTATGTCTTTTATCGTACAAAGTTTGTAGAAATACACGATTGTTTACAGAACAAGCCGATAGAGGGCACTCGGGTTAGGGTGATCCAATTTCGGTTATCCTTGTCTTATATTTATACTATTCCTAAAAATATGTTTGAAAAACGAATTAAATGTACGTTTATAAAGTAATAAATTAATTAATGAATAGTGCTATTATTACAGTCAGTGTTGTCGTGAAAGTCAGTATTTTAATTGCTAGTGTTGCCGTCAAAGTCAGTATTTCAACAGCCATCGTTGTCGTCAAAGTCAGTAGTTCAACGGCCATTTTGTCGTCAAAGTCAGTATTTTAATGGCTAATGTTATCGTCAAATTCAGTATTTTAACATTCATTGTTGTCGTCAAAGTCAGTATTTTGATAGCTAATGATGTCGTCAAAGTCAGTATTTTAACGGTTTTATTAATAAAATCTCTGAAGCTAAGGATTTCGAATCTCGGCTGTCCAAAAGTAAATGTAAACTGAGCGGTCTAACAAGGATTCCGACGTAAAAAAAAAATACTGGTTTACATCCTAAACATTTGTATCGTTTTATGGCTAAGTCCACAACACTACAAATATATACTATCAAACAGCACAGAAACGTGTGTATTGATACATTCCAAGACCTTATAGGGTTAGAATAATTAAAAGTTGGAAATATCGTCACCATAAAACAAAAAACAATGAAGAATCTGTAATAATTCCAGTTTAATGTCTGTTCTACAAAAAAACAACAACAACACTTCCATACAATCTATATCACTGCAGATGGTGTACGTATACAAACATCTTACGTCACTGTGATCATGTAATCACTGATGTTTGATGATTTGAAAGAACTTCTGAATTATGGTCATTATGCCAGTGTTATGTTAACTTCTAAATTTAGATGAATTATGTTACGTCAGTTAACTCTATCAGCTCAAGGTTTGCCACCAATTCTTTTATCTCAGTTAACTCTAACAGTTCAAGGTTTGCAACCAATTCTTTTATGTCAGTTAACCCTATCGGCTCAAGGTTTGCCACCAAATCTTTTATGCCAGTTAACTCTAACAGTTCAAGGTTTGCAACCAACGCTTTTATGTCAGTTAACCCTATCGGCTCAAGGTTTGCCACCAATTCTTTTATGTCAGTTAACTCTAACAGTTCAAGGTTTGCCACCAATTCTTTTATGTCAGTTAACTCTAACAGTTCAAGGTTTGCAACCAACTCTTTTATGTCAGTTAACCCTATCAGCTCAAGGTTTGCAACCAATTATGTTAAGTCAGTTAACCCTACCAGCTCAAAGTTTTCAGCTACTTCGTTCATGTCAGTTAATCCTATCACCCTATGATTTGCAGAACATCTTTTTACTTCAGTAATCCTTATTTTTACTTATTTATATGATGAATTACCTAGCGTACTACCTAAAACAGCCCCCTCCTCCCCGATTGGAGAGCGGTAAATCTGCGACATTATAATGCTAGGAACCCGGTATTAATACTTGTATTCTGTGGATGTTCTGTGACATGTTAGTTTAAAACAGTCCACATTTCTAGTTATAGGCCTATCACAATTTACTTAACTTACGACAGGAGTAGTAACACTCCTCAAGCCGTTTAGCGACAAAATAATGCCTTATCGAAGGAGAATCGCACTTACTAAGGTCTGTTGTGTTATTGGTGGTTACAGTCTCGTCGCTGACTATCAGTAAATAGTTCTGTATGACATCTTCGAATATGGTGCTTAACCAGAAGTACAGCGATGTTCCCAGTAGGTGCATCACTCCAAACCTTGATAACACTTTCATTCTGTTAATTATTACCTGCAGGAGAAAAACGAACGGTTTTTATTTAAACATCTTATAACATCATCAGTACAGCATTAAAACCGTATATTATACACTTTATAACATCATCAATACAGCATTCAAACCGTATATTATACACTTTATAACATCATAGTACAGCATTAAAACCGTATATTACACACTTTATAACATCATCAGTACAGCAGTCAAACCGTATATCATACACTTTATAACATCATCAGTACAGCAGTCAAACCGTATATTATACACTTTATAACATCATTAGTACAGCATTCAAACCGTATATTATACACTTTATAACATCATCAATACAGCATTCAAACCGTATATTATACACTTTATAACATCATCAGTACAGCATTCAAACCGTATATTATACACTTTATAACATCATCAGTACAGCATTCAAACTATATATTATACACTTTATAACATCATCAGTACAGCATTCAAACTATATATTATACACTTTATAACATCATCAGTACAGCATTCAAACCGTATATTACACACTTTATAACATCATCAATACAGCATTCAAGCCGTATCTAATACGTTTTATAACATCACGAGAACAGCATTCAAACCGTATATTATACACTTTATAACATCATCCGTACAGCATTCAAACCGTATATTATACACTTTATAACATCATCAATACAACATTCAAACCGTATATTATACACTTTATAACATCATCAATACAGCATTCAAGCCGTATCTAATACGTTTTATAACATCACGAGAACAGTATTCAAACCGTATATTATTCTGAAAGTGATGCCAGTTCAGTGATAAACTGGTTTTAGAGTAAACTTATTTAAGTTGAGTATAGCTTAAGATATTTATCCTCTTGTTTTTCACACTGTTAACCACAATACATATATATATATATATATATTAGTTCCTGTTTATATAGAATACGTAGTGTGGCCTTTTTCACAAACATTTCAATACAAGAAAGTCACAGAGGAACATTCGGTAAACATGCCAGTCTTGGAAATTAACCAAAATGGCTGCATCCAGTTGCAGCCGACATTTTAAAGTCAGAGTTTACCTGTCAATCGAACCTATTGTACTCACATTAGCATACTTAAAGCAGAAGAACAGTTGATAGAAAGAGTAGATAGGGGTGATTATATGAAGAACGATGGCAGCGACATCTACACAATCGGTTCCCTGTTGTGTAAGATATATTACTTGTTGACCTAATTGTAATCCTTCGTAGATCAAGTGACCGAAACAAAAGGCTGTGGATAAAAATGTCATAATTCAAAACAAGAAACTTTTACCCATTTTCAAATATCTTTCAAAAAATTTTACAACAAAAAAACACGTTTTCATACTTGTATTTTTTCCACTTTAGAATAAAAAACCGTTTCATTAGTTTTACCTACATTAAACAGTAGGACTCCAGAACTATGATCCGAGTTAAAACAAAAAATAAAAATCAGATCATTTCAAGATATAATCACACCAAACCACCTATTTATCAACATGTATATTTAGCTTTATTTTATGTGACGTTTTCAAACCAGTTTCCAGCAAAACAATTAAAAACAACAAGAACAGGTGTATAGAAAAAGAAGCTTTACCGAAAAATGAAAATCACTGGAAAAACAGTCATTGGGAAATTATTTCGTAGGAGATTACCTATCGAAATTACTTAGAAGGAGACTACTTATAAAGAAATACACAACTGTTGAGGTTTAAAGAACATACCTGCCATTCCTATTTTGAGATAAAAACTGCCACTGTGGCGCCCTCTAAGAAACATATACGAAGGTTTCTCCAAACTGTTTTTCAGGACTGTTGCACTGTTACAAAGGGTCACTGTCGTTTGACTTCTGCGGTCCATCTCGTCTTGCATGCTTTCCTTTCTTCTGTATAAACTACGAACGATATTTTTCTTGTAATTTTTAAGGTCTATATGAACGATAAGAAGCCAAAGGATTCCCACTGTAGCCACAATAATGCTGAAGATCTATAAAAATAAACAGTCACACGTGCTTTACTATCAGCTGATGTGCTTGTTCAACGCACGTGGAAGACATAAGGACATGTGGGAAGTCAGATCTGAACTTTGCTCCCCTCTCCGAATATGTCGCTCCCTGAGGGTTTCTTAAGGCACATGCCAAGTTTGGTGAGAATCGGTTCAGCGGCTCACCAGTTATAAGTAGTCATACACTCAAACTCTTGTCAAACAGTGGTTTGTCGTGATTTGATTTTCTACAGTCAGTACGTATTGTTATACTAGAGAGTTTCAAAATTAAATATATATATTTATTTTCGACAGTCAACAAGTAAAGTATCGTAATCTCCTTTAAAATAAAACGGTTGTAGAAAAGAACTATCACAGTGAGCCAATAAAATTATAGTTTTTAGAACACTCACTAGGGGGCATCATACATTACTTGTAAAAAAAAGAACAATTATACTTAGCCTAAAACTTAGTTTTTAAAACATTCGCTAGAGGACATTATGTAGATCTTTTGTAAAAAAAGAAGAAATATTATAGTTAGTCAAAAAACTTAGTTTTTAAAACACTCGCTAGAGGACATTGTGTAGATTTCTCGTGAAAAAAAAAAGAAATATTATAGTTAGCCCAAAAAATGTACAGCTTTTTTATTAAAAATACTAGAGGACATTATGTAGATTTCTTGTAAAAAACTATTTTATTTAGCCAGTGGATTTATAGTTTTTGAAACGGTTACTAGAAAGCGTTATATATTTCCCAATGTTTAAGAACTACGAAAGATTTCGTACACGTTTTCTCTAGCTTTCTTCAAAAGGTCGTTTAAAAAGCTTGATTGATGCATATCTCAAATAATATTTTAAGCCCATGAGCACAGTCCTAAGATTAGGTGTTACTAAAATGCATGCTCAAAGTAGTTAAACACTACAAAGAGAGAGAAGTTTCTAACCCTTACCTCAGCTATATACCTTCTCACGTCATTTTGGTCAGCTACTGTGATTACTCCGCCAAGCGTCAAAAGAAACACAGCATAGATGATGCTTAAAAGGCTAGAGAGATTTTGCCTGAAAATAATAACAAGAAGAAACACAGAATACAAGTTTATATCAATTATTCTGAGAGTTTATTTAAATATTAGCATATAGAACGATGTACCTCACTAAAACGTAAAAAAAAAAAGACGTGCGAGATCTATTGGTGATACAGGTTTGTATTTTGTAAGTATTGTGTTAAATTTGTGATAAGATACGTGTTATAACTTAGATGTTCTGCGTGTATCTGTTGTTAAATGTTGAAACTGCCTTAACTGGTCAATTTCTCAGTTCGTATTTCTTGGAAGGATAGTTTTATGGTGCGACAGTACAGGGGTGCTGTGATGGGTGAAGAAGGGATTAAAGAACATTAGGGCAGTAATGGGTGATGAAAATTAAGTAACACCAGAACACCATATGTGTGATAAGAGTTAACAATCACTAGAACAACATGTGGGTGTCGTGAGGGTTGTTAAAGAGGTAAGGGTAACTAAGTTAGTATGTAGGCGTCGTGAGGGTTGTTGAAAAGGTAAGGATAACTAAGTTAGTATGTAGGTGTTATGATGGTTGTTGAAGAGGTAATGACAACTCAGTTAGTATGTAGGTGTCGTGAGGGTTGTTGAAGAGGTAAGGACAACTAAGTTAGTATGTGGGTGTCATGAGGGTTGTTGAACAGGTAAGGACAACTAAGTTAGTGTGAAGGTGTCGTGAGGGTTGTTAAAGAGGTAAGGACAACTAGGTCAGTATATAGGTGTCGTGAGGGTTGTTAAAGAGGTAAGGGTAACTAAGTTAGTATGTGGGTGTCGTGAGGGTTGTTGAAGAGGTAAGGACAACAAATTTAGTATGTAGGTGTCGTGAGGGTTGTTAAAGAGGTAAGGGTAACTAGGTCAGTATATAGGTGTCGTAAGGGTTTTGTGAAGGGGTTAAAACAACTAGATCAGTGTATAGGTGTAGTGAGGGTTTTGTGAAGAGGTAAGGACAACCAGGTCAGTATGTAGTGGTTGTGAAGGATGTTTTGTATGTTGTAATTAGAGTTTTCATTCATACCTCACTTACACAGTCTCTTTCTTCTCAGACAAACGGCTCAAAGTGTCAATATGTATTAATTTTTTGTTCTTACCTCACTTCCACAGTCTCTTTCTTCTCAGACAAATGGCTCAAAGTGTCAATATGTATTAATTTTTTGTTCTTACCTCACTTCCACAGTCTCTTTCTTCTCAGACAAACGGCTCAAAGTGTCAATATGTATTAATTTTTTGTTCTTACCTCACTTCCACAGCCTCTTTCTTCTCAGACAAATGGCTCAAAGTGTCAATATGTATTAATTGTTTGTTATTACCTCACTTCCACAGTCTCTTTCTTCTCAGACAAATGGCTCAAAGTGTCAATATGTATTAATTGTTTGTTATTACCTCACTTCCACAGTCTCTTTCTTCTCAGACAAATGGCTCAAAGTGTCAATATGTATTAATTGTTTGTTATTACCTC